ATCTCGCGGCGGCGAGGAGGCGAGCGATCCGCGCGCTGGGTACGCGTGCATCCAAAGTTCACGTATTCTGCCGCGACGCAGGCACATAGAAGAAGAGAGAGAGAGAGAGAGAGAGAGAGAGAGAGAGAGAGAGAGAGAGAGAGAGAAAAGGTGTACGCCGCGCCGTAAATACGTGCAGAGTGGAGGCAAGACGTGGAAGGTAATGGCCGGGCAGCGCCGTGGTTCGCGGTTCGAGTTCCCTTCGCGCGAGCCGGTGAAAGTCGCCTCGAATCAGACTAGCGGGCTATCCCCACCGGGACGTGTCTTCGTGTTAATGTCGTTTTCCCATAGAAGTCCCTCGCCTCGCCGCCTCGCTCTCCCCACCCCCGTCGCGTCGCGTCGCGTCGGCCGGCCAGCGCCATCGTGTAGCGATCGACTAACGACGCCATCCTCGGCCGCGTCGACCGCGAAAATTCCATCGGCGGCAGCTTCCGGTTCACGTTCCAAGGATCGTGTGACGATCCGGCAACATCCGGAGAATACCTGCCCCCCTCGTCGGTGTAACACTATCGAACGGGATTCGCCCGTTGTTTTTCTACATGACGACGTCGCGACGGCTCGAGTTTCACCGACTCGTTCTTTCCCCGAGACTATAGCAGGTGGTACAGCCGGGGAGACGGGAATCGCTGTGAAAGAATTACAATCTCCGTCTGCGTTGGGTGTGGACTTCTTTGGTTCTTCTCTTTCGTTAGCTTTGCGTGGTGTCAGCGAGTTCTTTCAGCGAGTTCATCTTTGGCTCCCGATTTCTGTTAGGGTCTTTATTTTGTGGTAGAGTAAAATTGCGTAAGTGACTTCGCGATAGAAATAATTTTTGATTTTTTGATTAGCAGAGGTTTGGAGAGACCGTTTTGTAAATGTAATATAAAAATTGATAAGTAGATGTTTGAGCAGACCTTTAGGAGTTATTGCCAACAGTGTTAAATGGTCTCGTTTTTTCAGACGTAACTGATTACCGGTTGTCAGGGTCCACTTTGACTCCAAATAAAAGAGTGATATTGAAATAGCGATAGCAGAGGTTCGAACGGGCCATTTTGAAAATGTGATGCAGAAATTGATAAGCAGATATTTGAATATATCCTCTAAGCCTGTTTTGAAAATGTGATATAAAAATTGATAAACAGATGTTTGAGTGAACCTAAGAGTTAATGCCAACAGTATTAAATAGTCTCGTTTTTTCAGACGTCTTCTTTGATCTCTAGTTGTGTCAGGGTCCACTTTGACTCCAAATAAAATAGCGATATTGAAATAGCAATAGCAGAGGTTCGAACGGGCCATTTTGAAAATGTGATGCAGAAATTGATAAGCAGATATTTGAATATATCCTCTAAGCCTGTTTTGAAAATGTGATATAAAAATTGATAAACAGATGTTTGAGTGAACCTAAGAGTTAATGCCAACAGTATTAAATAGTCTCGTTTTTTCAGACGTCTTCTTTGATCTCTAGTTGTGTCAGGGTCCACTTTGACTCCAAATAAAATAGCGATATTGAAATAGCAATAGCAGAGGTTCGAACGGGCCATTTTGAAAATGTAATGCAAAAATTGATAAGCAGATATTTGAATATATCCTCTAAGCCTGTTTTGAAAATGTGATATAAAAATTGATAAACAGATGTTTGAGTGAACCTAAGAGTTAATGCCAACAGTATTAAATAGTCTCGTTTTTTTCAGACGTCTTCTTTGATCCCTAGTTGTGTCAGGGTCCACTTTGACTCCAAATAAAAGAGTGATATTGAAATAGCGATAGCAGAGGTTCGAACGGACCATTTTGAAAATGTGATACAGAAATTGATTAGCAGATGTTTGAATGTACCTCTAAGCGTTTTACTATCAATAATGGTAAATGGTCTCTCGTTCTTTCAGACGTTTTTGATTCCCACTTCCCAGGGTCCATTTTGACTCAGAATAAAATTGACGATGTGACTTTGAAAATGCGATAGAAATATATTGATAAGCAGAGGTTCGAACGGGCCATTTTGAAAATGTAATGTAAAAACCGACAAGCAGCATAAAATAAAGTATAAAAATAAAATAAAAATATAAAATTATATAAAATATAAAAATAGATATAAAAAAATATAAAAATAATTGGCAACATACATTTCGGTGCAGAATGAAATAGTAGAAGTGGCTTCGAAAATATAACAAAAAAATTGACAAGTAAAGATTGAAATGGACCTAAGCGTTACCAATGCTAGTAAATCGTAGTTCGTTCATTTCGGTTCGGAGTAAAATTGCAGAAACTCCGTCCGACAGTGCAACAGAAAAATTAATAAATAAAGGTATAAAAACACTTATGAACATTACCAATCTCATAATAATCAGAATCGTCTATCTCGAAGGGTGTCAATGCGCATAAGTTGCCAGAACGATGTCGAGGTTATGAACACGTTCATTATTGAATGATTGCTCCCAAACGGTCTACAGAGTCGAAGCACATAATTATCATATCGAAAAGTTAAAGTCCATTGAGTATACTTCGATCTCTCTTACATCCTACGTATGTTCGCACGAACATAACGCAACAACAATTAATATTTCAGCTTGGTCAAAGGACACCGTCCGTATTAACGTGTTAATAACAATGGTGAAATGTTGCGTGCCAGATCTCGATTTAGTATTGCCAAATTCGCATGATAATAACGATATTGCCAACACCACGTGTGTCTGTATTTAATTCATCGATAGTCCATCAACGGTGTACCGATTAGTTTCGTTGACATATACGGGCCGTCGATATTCCATTAGCGTAGCAGTTTGTAGGGTAACAGCAGTTCAGTGTCATCGATATGGTAGCGTATTATGGACTAGAATTTTATTAGAGGAGCCGATGTCCCTGTATCGTGCGCCAATAATCAACCAATTCAGCCTTGCCATAGGCTGACTGCAACCAGGCCAAGGTTTGCGCAGAACCGTCGCTCCGAGAAAAATAATAGCGTGCCGTACTTCGTAATTCTCAGATCAGATAAACGCGTAAATATTGTATGCAAAACGATATCAGAATATTTTATTATGCGATCAATTTTTTTCTCGGGTTTGTTTCTAGTTGTTCCTCTAACGACTCGATTATCCGATTATTTATGACTCATTCGTGAGTACAGGAGTTTAATCTGAAAACTCGAAGCACGTCGAATCTCGCGTTAAAAACGATCGACCGACCGCTTTAATTTCGTTTAAACATTTATAGAAGGATAAATTAATAAAATAAATAAGAAAAAGATAAACGCATAAATATTGTATGCGAAACGATATTTGTTTCTAGTTGTTCCTCTTACGACTCGATTATCCGATTATTTATGACTCATTCGTTACAGTTTTGGCAAGGAGTTTAATCTCAAAACTCGAAGCACGTCGAATCTCGCGTTAAAAACGATCGACCGACCGCTTTAATTTCGTTTAAACATTTATAGAAGGATAAATTAATAAAATAAATAAGAAAAAGATAAACGCGTAAATATTGTATGCGATACGATATCAGAATATTTTATTATGCGAACAATTTTTGTCGGGTTTGTTTCTAGTTGTTCCTCTAACATTTATAGAAGGACATCGACAAAATTCTGTACACGCGGCTCGAATTACCGTGGGATCGAGGATCGAACCATTCGCGCCGCAATGAATCGATCAAATTCGATACAACGCTTTTCTGTTACCGTTTTATCGCATTCCGAACGCGACATTACAAGCCCGATTTTGACTACCGCGATTCCACCGTCGCACTTTCCATTTCAACGGCGATATAAAACCGACAATAAAACGTCGTATATCAAATTTCACGGCGCCGCCGTAAACGGTGGAATAGTCGTCCGTCTTCGAATCGAGGATTAAATCGTCGTCAGAAAAATGATTCGCAGCCTATAAACGCGTAAACGTGTCTCTGAAATGATCGCAGCAAAAAAGGTCATCGTTCACCGTTAATTTCCTAATACAGAAGCATCTTTGAGAGAAAAAAAAATACGACCGAAGGAAGTGAAAGTCGTGGTTTCACCCTACGGAACGAGCCGTAGGCCAGTTTCATTGTCCGATTTTTCATTCTTCGAGATTGCGACAGGTTCGGCATCGGCGACCTTTCACCCGAGATTCATCGATCCTTTAATTTCGGATCGCCGGTGTGTTTAGCAATTCTTAGGGTACTCATTGTAAGCAGCGCAACCGCGTCTACAACGAATACACCGTGTTCTCATTTGAGAGCTTCATGGTGTGAGTGAGAAGCTATCTTATTCGATGCTGTCGTATAAATATGCAAATAGTTTACTTGCTCGAATGATTCTTTATTATTATTCGAATAAAAAATTATTCAAATTATTCGCATAATTCGTCATACATTATTCTGTCTATTTATTCCATCTATTCGTATAATTCTTTATTCGAATAATTCTTTGTATAATTGCTCGTATAATTCTTTATTCGAATAATTCTTTGTATAATTATTCGTATAATTCTTTATTCGAATAATTTTTTGTATAATCGTTCATATAATTCCTTATTCGAATAATTCTTTGTACAATTATTCGTATAATTCTTTGTATAATTCTTTATTCGAATAATTCTTTGTATAATTTTTTATTCGAATAACTCTTTGAATAATTCTTTGTATAATTCTTTATTCGAATAATTCTTTGTATAATTCTTTATTCGAATAATTCTTTGTATAAATCTTTATTTGAATAATTCTTTGTATAATTCTTTATTCGAATAATGCTTTGTATAATTATCCGTATAATTATTTGTATTTGTATATTTGTATTTTTATTATCTTTTTATAATTACTTGTACAATTCTTTATCCGATTATTCGTATAATTCTTTATTCGACTAAATAAATAGAATAATTTCAGCCAAATAATGGATAATCGTTGTTCGAACAAACGCTCAATTCGGACAATTATAAATAAATAAAATTATAAATATTGCACGCCGTAATTATACTTATAACTGAACATTGTCACAAAGTGGAGCTCACCTCGAGGCATTCCGCATGGTCCCGGCGTCCTGGCGTTGTCCAGAAAGTCCAGATCGTACTTCCTCGCGCGCGGAAAAGTCAAGGCGACGTGTCCTTGCACTCCCCTGTACGATATCACGGTGAATACCAGCAGGATCAGTCCCGCGATTACCGTCGAACACGTTCTCGACGACATTTTCTGGCGGAAACGTGCTCTGGTGCGATCGTCCAGCCTCGGCCACGCTCGCTCGCTCGCTCGCTCACAAACACCACTCTTTCACTGAATTCCTCGTGCTCGTCGTTCCCTCTGAGAATTTTCCTCTCGCGCGCCTGAGACCCTCCTGCTGATTTTTCCTGACGCTCGGCATGGGCACCCCTCGTTGATTAACTTCTTCCGCCTCGGCGAGGCCAGCCTGCAACGTGAAAAAGCGGATTCTTAGCTCGTTTGTCTCCTTCAGAACGTTTTATCGTCGTTTATCCTCTTTAACGGCAAGAAAACGCACTTGAATATCTTGACACGCTGCCCGATCGAAATATGCGCTTCGGTAACGCGCGAATGTCACGCCACTTTAACCCGTTATTCAATTTCTTAATGCCTTATTTAATATTTTAACACTTTATTTAATAACTTATATCTGATGGTTTAATGCTTTATTTGGTATTTTAACAGCTTATTGAATAATTTAAGACCT